GGTATCGTCAGGAGCCGCAGGGTTTAATTTGGTTTTGTTTGTGTATGTTTTTTTTTTTTGACTCTCAAAGCCGTGTTTCCCATTCACTTCCATTATAAGACTGACAGACTCCAACGGTTTGAGTTAAAAATCTTTGTTTGTGTTCTACTGAAGAAACAAAGTCACCTACATCTTGGATGCCCTGGGGGTAAGCAGATAAACATAAAATTTTCATTTTTGGGTGAACTATCCCTTTAAGCTGGGTCCTTACCTGTTGGCGTATTCGTATTCAGTCCTATTCACGAACGAATCATTCAGACCAGTTTTGTGAACCTCTTCAACTGATTTGTTCATGAATCTAACATTGCTAATTGTACACACACTACCGGTCAAAAATATTAAGCAGCACAACTTTTTTCAGCATTGATTATAATAAATATGTTTCTTGTGGTGCAAATCAGCAAATTACCATATAAAACAGGTGGTTTCTGAATGATCATGTGACACTGAAAATTGGCGTAATGGCTGCTGAAAATGTAGCTTTGCTATCACAATGATATAATAGATTTTTAAAATATATTAAAATAGAAAACTGTTATTGTAAATTGTAATAATATTTAATAATATTTAATTGTCTTGGTGAGCATAAGAGACTTTGAAAAACTCTTTAAAAAAACATTCAAAAATCTTAACTACCCCAAACTTAGGAACGATAGTTTGCATTATATAATTGTATACAGTAATGAAAATCTTCTTCTTTTTTTAACTAAATCAACACTAGTTTTTTTAATTAAATTTAGATTTTGTGATATTCAACGTCTGTGATGAAACCTTTGCAAAACCAAACTGGGATTTGATTGGCTAACCTCAGACTCCATCAAGTGCCATTTTGAAGTGACGTTTTCGAGCATGGGTATTTAGTGCAAAACCATAATTTCAAAAGCACTAGCATCATATTTCCTCTGATCTATAGTCTGTTACTCCCAGATCCTATTGAGAGACCTTTCATTTCAGCCACTCAGGGACTTGTATTCATGAGAACAATTCTTGTTTGCTACACAAAATAATCCGTATCAGCTGATCTCTGTTTCTCTTTCTCTTCGTTCCATCTGTCCTGTATTTTCACATGTGTTGCTGTTAGTCCTTGGTAGGCTAGCATATCAAAATTAATATTGGTAATCCAGTGAATTATTCTTCACTCTTTAGCCTATTAAACATCTTATAAACCTACTAAAACTGTAGTTTAAAATGAAGTTGATATGACTCCTTTCCTTTATTTATTTTCTCCATTTGAAAACATTAGACCTTCTACATTTATTTTGCTTATTGTTAATATTAGTATTGGTGCTGATGCTTTAAGTAAAATGTTTTTTTATTGTTATAATGTGAAGATTAAATTTAACATGAAAGACTGCTAATTTTCAACACTTTTTTTAAGATGACTGAAAGGAGGAAAAACCAAAGTGAAGTATGGACTTACTTCACTCAGTCATTTATTTACTTTATAACAGTAAATAAATATCGGTTCTGCATATCGGTTATCGGGCACATAAACATGCAAATAATTGGTATCGGTATCGGTTATAAAATATCAATATTGGTCGATCACTATAAATAACACGTAAACAGTGATACTGTACTGTGAATGTAAATATGCTGGGTAGACGTTCCTCCACATTGCCCTCCTTATAGCGATCATGCTGAGATGAGTTATCACAACAGGTGGATATATATTTTGGCAGGATTGCTCATACAGAGAGCCTGTGTCTCTTCCTCATTTCACTTTGCTAATGCAGAGTCTGATCTCTCTTCCAGACTGAATTGCCCCATAATGTCCATTAACAGCCCAGCCCCAGTTTTGACCAATGTACATGTTGGTTGTTGTAGGAGGACTCAATGCAAATCACTATTATTATTGCCCATATGCACATTCACACTGACAGCAGTTTTGTTTGTTTGGAGCCCACCAGGTCACTGTACCTTTTGCTAGGTTTACGTTCCTACGTTCCTCTTCCTGGAATACAGAAATCCATTGCCGGTGTCAAGAAAGATTCTATTCCCCCACAGAATCCTATCCTTATTCCACCCCAAAACCATAAATTCCTGCTGGGATGACGTGTTTTTGTTGGCCAAAACCCAGAAACAAGTTAGCAATTTAGCTTCTATAGTCCTGAACTCAATGGGTTTTTTAAATGGGTTTTTGGGTAAATGCCTGAAATAAGGTCTCTGGTTAACACAAACCCAGGATATTTTTGTGTTTTATTCTACAACATAAAATACATCAGTAATAATCGTAGACTCTGAGATTTTTGAAAACGATGGCGTGGCTGCCCACATTCGCTCTGCCTATCCTTGTGTAAACAATAACATCATGCTCATTGTTGTGCCCATAGATATGTATACATATCTATGGTTGTACCTGCATGAATGGTCATGTGACATGCGTTTTCGATTGTAGTGTGGATGGAGAACATTTCTGAAATGCAGTGAAAACGCAAGTGTAGACGAGGGTCGTTTTCATTTTAAAACGCCATTTTAAAATGAAAACGTACTAGTGTAAACGTAGCCTTAATGTTGGAACATTGGAGTCATGCGACTGTGGTGTAGTTTGTTTATATACTATGTTTAGCTTTTTTATGTCTGACGATTGCATTTAGGCTGTAAAATTCATAAAAGTTGTGTTCAGTTGTGGAGAATAGCATGAAGAACAAAAGCGTAAAGGCTGGAATACACTTTTAAAATCTGAAAAGAGCTGACCGTGATACGCTACGCAACTTTCTATGAAACCTGTCAACGCAGACTGGCTCTGACTTTCAACAACTAGCCTCAACTGTGACTGTAAATCAGGGCAAAAATGTGGGCAAAAGTTGTGTAGTGTATTCCAGAGTAGTGTATTTAAGAATCATAAACATTTGCTCACAGAGCTTATTTTCTGCAATAATCTAAAAGCCAATGGAAAAATACTGTTGGGTTTTGGTGGAAGGAATTTCCGGTTTGACCTACAAAAATACGTCTTCACTGTAGCGCTCTATTCGATTGGCTAAGACAGTGGGTTTTATGGGTGTTCAGTTTGGTGTCTGATTAGTATTAATTGGTGATCATGAAAATATGCTAATTAATTTATTTTAAGTGTCGTGTATTACCAGAGCTAAAAGGCTAAATGTTTTCTGTTTTTTGTGCTTTCACATTGCCTACTAGCTTTGCCTACTAGCTTAGCATACAACAAGGTGTCTCATAGTGCATCTGAAGACACATACTGTCTAAGTAATGAGTAATGAACTTGATGACCAATAAAAAAAAATATGTTCTGTCGGGGCCGATAGCTTCTTGGGCAGCGCGTCGACATATAGCAGCATTGCACTTCGGTTGTCCCGAGTTCGAGTCCCGGCTCGTTGACCTTTCCCGATCCCATCCCTCTCTCTCTCTCTCTCTCTCCCATTTCGTTTCCTGTCTACATGCTGTCCTATCATAATGAAGGCCAAAAATAAATCTTAAAAAAAGCATGTTTTTTTATAGTATGAATGTGAATATAAAAGTTTCCCATTTGCGACTTTGTGGTGGCATTTATATGCATTCAGCTCGTAAATTTAATCTTTTTGACCTGAAATGCATCATATGAATCCGGGCATACTACTTAATTCACATACTGTTTATTAGGGAAGTAGGCATTTTCAGATGTAGGGACAGTTTTATTTTTGCTAAAAATGTGCAATACGAAGAGAAAGCTTTTGTATTTAAATTACAGCGGTTTGTAATCTCATATCATGAACAAGATTTATCAATGCTTGATTCAAACTCTCATTATCTCACAGATGTCAGCACATGAGCTTTATTGACTTTACTCCATTTCGTACTGTTCGTTCCAACGAGTCTCTGTTCATTTGCATGAAGTTAAATTTAAAAGTTAAAGTCCCACATCCTGTTGTCAGTGGTTACTGTCGCTCATGTCGTCGGAAACTGGGAGCTCTCATTGAAAATGACTACAGGTCACTTGTCGCTGTACATTGCTTTCATTGTGAACTCCGCTTTTGGGTTAGCGAAAAGAATAATACTTCAAATTGTGTGGCTTGTTGAGGAGACTTGGCCAGTAAGTAACTACCCTAGCAACTCCTTAGAAACCACCCAGAACACCCTAGATACCTCTTAGCAATGTACGGAAAACCAACCAGAACGCCCTAAAAACCAGTCAAAGATTTGCACCACTCACATTTTCTTTGGAAAGTTTAAAAATCTAGTTATGGTTTGTAGGCTATCAGTAAGTAAACAGTAGAATAGTGGAGCGCTGAAGGGAAATGTTTTTCAGTGTGTTTTTTTCTCACTCTGGTTCTGTGGGCTGTATGCAAACCCTGCCGCACACAAAGCCAAAGGGTGATAAGACGCTTATTTGACTTGCTTGGTGCACCAGGAGGAAATTATGTCATCAAGCACAAGAGAGACAGGATTGTTTTGCTCCGCGCTGAAGCTGGCCAGCACAAGCCTCACATGCTCCGACGTATTTCTGTTGATTTTGAGTGTCCAGCGTTTCGGGTCTCGCTGCCTATGGCTGTCTGTCTGTCGAGGGGAAAGGGTTCCGCCGATGTTGTTTTAAAAATAGCCCTATGTTCGATGCTCTTGCACTAATGCCGCCCAACAATCTGACACGATTTAGGGCTCCCTTCTCTTCCTCCATGGATCCCAGGCAACCTCCCTAGCTTTTTTGACCATAGCTGGACCTTTTTAGGAAAACCACAGTGTTTCTGCAGATGTTTGCAGATGTGAAAAAGCATTGATGTCTATGAGACAAACCTGTCTGTGGCTGTTCTAATGTCAGCACACAGTTGTTTTTGACAGCTGTTTCCTCTCAGTTTTTCATAGTCTGTGCCAGTTAGCAGCTTGTAAGTGACATTTTGTTTATAGACTTGCTCTACCAGACTGCGCAGGCCGAGTGTCCTGTTTTGTACACCGATGTTTTTGCAGATAGTTTGTGTTATTATAACACTTGTGCTAGCTAACTGCTCTCCTGTTCTGTTTTCTTTCCACAGACAACAGTCAAGTGAGGAGGACAACTCAGCCATACTTAAATTTGCTGCTAAAGCCTCCATATTTAAAACAAGAACTTTCTGTTTTTTATGCTGTTTTTTATGATATAAAATCAAATTTCCTCCAGAGATTGACGAAAAGATAGGGCGACTGAGACGGGGGAGGTGGCAGAAAAGTTTCCGTCAAGGAACTGAAGATCTGCAATGCCTCTGGTATGGGCCCTGTCGTTCAAATTTGGGTGCCAGGTTGAGGTATTTTGAAATAGATGTCATGGTATGCTTCTCTTGCTTTCATCTTACAGCCCAGCATTACCGGAATGGATACTCCCTTTGGGGATGCCTTTCAAAACTGCTCTTTTACTGACCAGGTGCTGACCAGCACAGACCTGTTGGCTAACAGTTCTGACCCAGATTTCATGTATGAACTGGTAAGAACGACTATAAAATGTGGCCATGAATTAATAAGTAAAAAAATAATGTAAATCATGTTCATTGATTTACTAAAAGGATAAGGATTTTATAAAATATTTTTACTCACAATTTCTGCCCGATTAAATATTTTAAGCTTAGCATAACTAGAAAAATGTATATTCTTTATCAAAGTGCCTATAGTGTTTTAAAATGTTATTAATTTGCATGAGTTTTCCAGGTCTAGAAATCACACAAGTCATATTGGGGCCCACTTGGAAGTTTGCTATGAGCCCCAAGTGCTGTGCATTTTATTAAATTTAATTAAATAAAATTTTCAGCACATAATGGTTACACATTGTGTCATGTATAGAGTGACAAATTGACAGTATTATTTTTGCATAGTGTTCCAGAAGATAGCTAGAAATAGTTGTGGCAACATTTCCACAAATGGACAAGCAGTCATTAAACCAGGCTGCATACTGGACTTGTCCAATAAAAGATACTAACCTCGTAAATATGCAGATAAAAACATTAACACAGTGCTCAAATGAGAAATGTGAAATCCTGAAACCTAACAGCCCTAAATTAATTACAACCCAAGGTAAAGTCTAGACAGTGTAAAACATGGAACAAGATTACCCAGGGTTATGTTAATGACACTGGGTTATTAATTTCAAGTGTGAAAACCCCACCAGTTTCTTTAGTCTGCCGTACAAAGTTGAGTTACATTTTTGAACGTTTGCAGGATCGGGACATGACTTGTCGCCAGAGCCCTAGAGGAAATATTTTCACAGTCGGAGACTGCAAAGACTTGGACAGCATGGATCATCTACCTGAACTGGTAGATAACGACCCTGCTTATAGCTCAAACTTTGAGCAGTGGGACACGTACTGGGAGGACTTGACTAAGTACACTCGCCTCACCAGTTGTGATATCTGGGGCACCAAGGAAGTAGATTTCTTGGGCCTTGATGACTTTTCCAGCCCTTACCAGGATGAGGAGGTGATAGGACAGACACCGACCCTGGCCCAGCTCAACAGTGAGGACTCGCAGCCAGTTTGTGACACTCTTTACCATCCGGACTTGCTGGTGGGTCAAAAGCAGCTTTTGTTTCCACCTCCCACCATGGCCAAGAAGACTAACAAACTCAGCCACTCTGCAACCAGCTCCTCATCGAGTCACAACCCTCTGCCGGACTTTGCAGAGGGATCCCAGAAAGCTACCTGGCCTGTTCCCTCCAGCACTGACATAATGGCCAAGGGCCAGTTTCAGGGCCCTAGCAAAGCCTCGACTGCACCTCTGGGCAACATGGATTACGTTCGCAAAGCCAAGGTACGCATCAGCGTACCACGCAAGCCTTTAGTAGAGAGCTCCGCCCAGATTAGTGTTTCTGCCTCTCCTCTTATCCAGGAGCACGAGTCGTCAGCTTCGCAGGTCAGCGAGGACCCAGCCGTCGACGCTTCTAACACGGCCTCTTCCATTAGCTGTGAAAAGAGAGTGGAGACTCCTAAACAAGAGGTACCGACTGGTCCTGGTCCAGAAATAGGGACCCTGAGGACGGTGCCACACAAAGTCCCCTTCGCTGCAGCTGCCGGCAGTGAAACCTTGCTCACCGTGAGTGCCCTTGGATCCGACGCTTCTGCCGCTGACAAAAAGAAGGAGGAAGAGCACAACTACTCGTTATTCTTGACCAGGGCCAGGCTGGCAGGGAAGGCAACTGCTGACATGGAAGAAGAGGAGGAAGAGGAGGAGGAGGAAGAAGGTGAAGAAGAGGAAGAAGAGGAGGAGGCAGAGGGATTGGATCTAGACGATGAAGATCATGATGAAGGGTTTGGCAGTGAACATGAGCTCTCAGAGAATGAAGAGGAAGAGGAGGAGGAAGACGAGGACTATGAGGGCGACAAAGACGACTACATTAGTGACGCATTCTCAGAGCCAGGTGCGAAATGACATCTTTTTCTTGATGCTGTTGTAGACAAATGCATAAAAACTAGGGATGCTATGATAATGATACTGGTATCAATACATGCTGTTCTGTACATTCGAAACACAAAGCATCAGACTTTTGGAGGTACAAAATTCAGTGCCACCAAGCGAGTGCACAGTACATTTAGTACAAATAGGCCTATAACTGAGTGAACAGAAAGAGAGAGTATATAGAGTTAATTCTCCTAGAATGTCATTGCTCTTAAGCAGCATTGGGAAATCCAGTTCATTCTAGGAGTTAGCTACTTGGAAAGTGCATTGTAGGTTGTGTGCAGATAACCAAAGGGAAGTGAAACTAACAGATGATCTTACCCAATACTTTGTTATACATAAAAATGACATAAATTACAGTAAATTGTTGTGATGCCACCCAAAAGCAAATGCATACAGGTTCTTAAATGCGTGAATCTCTTCGGTTATTATTATTATTTTTTCTTGTATTTTATTTATTTATTTGTTTGTTTGTTTGAGTGGTGTTATGGAGCTAAAAATGTACGCATTTTGTAATTTTGTGTGTGTCTGTGTGTACTTGAAGGATTAGTCAACCCAAAAATGAAAATTCTGTCATCATTTACTCACACTCAATGGTCCAAACTTGAATGAGTTTCTTTCTTCTGTTGAACATAAAAAATATATATTTTGAAGAATGTGGGTAACCAAACAGTTCCTGGTCGCCAGTGACTTCCATCGTATTGGGAAAAAATACTATGAAAAGTCAATGGGGACCAGAAACTGTTTGGTTACCTAGAAATGAAAATTGTCATCAATTGTTCACCCTCGTGTTGTTCCAAAACCACAAGACTTTAATGTGTTTCATTAAGATAATGAAATTAATAATTTTAAATTATAAGAATTTAAATACATACAAGCATTTTTGAGTTTCCGTTTACAACATTTGATGTCTATGGAATGTCCCCATTTAGATAGCTAAGTAAACGTGTAGTTATTTATTTATTATATTTATTAAATTGCAATACGCATATTTTACTTTGGTAAAACTTTTTTGACCAGTGCATATGATTAATTGCAGCAGTTTGCAATTTCAGAGTTTGTATTTGTCAAATAGTGCAGACATAGTGACACCAGAAAAGATGACAGAAAACAGTTAGATAGGGATCTTTGAAGTATGCTGATTTGTGTCAAAATCTATGTGTCCTCCTCCACCCATCCTGTTGGAAACGGAAGAGACCCAAATTTTGTACCCGTCAAAAACAAGAATTGGAAACGTATAATATTTGTTTTTTGTCTTGTACTGTTTTGTTAGCTAGTCAGCTTAAATGAAGCCTGAAATGGAAAAAAAACAAAAGCTTTTTTTCCCAGGTTGGTCTAAAGGACACGGAAGTGTTGCAAAAGATTGGTTTGTAATCATTGTAATTTTATCCATTGCGGTATGCTTAAATAGTCTCCTGTATTTGCTGTTAAAGTTCATATTTGATGAAAATAATAATCATCAGTCTCCCTGGACTGTACTGGTAAATACTGGTATACGTAACAGCAAATACCAAAACAGAAGTATCAGTACTTGTATTTGGTATTGTGTGCATCCCTAGTGAAAACTTGTGTGCGCTGCCCTAATTTGAAACTATGAAGCTACTAATATCTTGAACGAGCCCTTGTGACTTATGGTTGAATTGAGAATTATGATTGTACATTTACAAGATTATAATGGTTTAGGGATTCTGTAAATGCAGGATAGGAAAAGATCATTGTTCATTTCTTTCTTTGCCTCATTACCATCCTATCTTTCAAACAGGATGTGACACTGATATGGCTGATGATGTCAAAGGCCTGACGGCTGGAATTTCCAGAAAGAGGGGAAAGCGTCGATACTTTTGGGAGTATAGCGAGCAGCTCATCCCATCCAAACAGGAGCGCATGCTGAAACCCTCCGAATGGGACAGAGACACACTTCCCAGCAACATGTACCAAAAGAATGGCCTGCACCATGGTGAGACATTCACTCTCCATCATATAAAATCTATGAACAAAGAAGGACCTTTTCAATTTATGTTCCAGATTATAATTACAACAGATCACAGTATTTAAAGCTTTTATGAAAATTCCCTTTAAGCCTGATATATTTAACGTTACTGTTTGTCTGAATTGTTTAGGAAAATACACACTGAAGAAGTCGCGGCGGACGGATGTGGAAGATCTTACTCCAAACCCTCGGAAGCTGCTTCAGATCGGCAATGAACTCCGGAAACTCAATAAAGTCATTAGTGACCTGACTCCGGTTAGTGAGTTACCCCTAACCGCTCGGCCTCGGTCTCGAAAGGAGAAGAACAAGCTTGCATCCAGGTAAAGCCGTATCCACGTACTCCTTGAACTACTACTTCTTTTATTTCTTAAAGCTCACATCCCAATGTTTTCCCTTAAACTGAAAATCCTATAAAGCAATACCACTCTAGATAGACTGGGTAAACTACATTGTGTGCTGTTTAAAATGATTAAAATGCTGAAATACAGCACACCAAAATGACTTTTTTTAGTGAAACACTCTTCTTGATTCTTCTCTCTGTGTGTGGGTTTTTTTTTCTTCCCTAGGGCCTGCAGGCTGAAAAAGAAAGCTCAGTATGAAGCCAACAAAGTCAAGTTATGGGGCCTTGGAACTGAATATGGTACATTGTTTAGACATGGAAATTAAATATTAAAGGAAGTGCTTGATATTGTTTATTGTAGAGTGTAGATTGAGTGTAACCACTTTGCTTACCTTTGAAACAAGACTAGTTTTTAGATCAGTTAAGTTTTTGTGCATACTTATAACCGAGCAAATTTGCCAATGAGACAAATATATGATTGTCTTCTTTTTCAGATTGTTTGCTGTTTGTGATCAATGCAATCAAAGAAGAGATAGTCAGCAGAGTTCAGGATATCTCACATGACAAAAGAACAAGCATGACCGAGAAGCTGGATAAACTCATTGAGGATACCTTAGGTAAGAAAATGTGCTACATTGCATTATTATTAACACTGCAAATGCAAATTATGTGTGATCTTGTACAAGCTGTCTTCAAGTTTCTCCTCAAACACACCACTAACAACTCGATACATCTTACAAGCTGAGTTGCAAGAAATCTGCATGCCTTACAAGCACGATCAAGCTGCATCTTCTCCAGCAGCTGCTATCCTTGTGTCTTCAAGAATTTTAAGAGCCTTCACATTGCTTCGCTCCATGCTGTGACCTCTGTTGTATCTAAACTGTTTTCTGAAGAAATTTTTGTTAGCACATCAGAATCAGCACATCACCTCATGACATGACCTCATCCTACTGTTATATAAGTTCCAAAAACAGCTTTAAAAGAACACAAGATGAATATTTTTTAAATATTTTTTCAACATGTTGGAAGCTCATGATCTCAGCATAGACTGGGAAGTAAACAGCCTGTAACTAACAACAAAACTCTTATGAAAACTTATCCTTTAAAGGTGACATATCATGAAAATCTGACTTTTCCAGGTTTTAAGTGCTATAATCAGGTCCCCGGTGTTTTGGTAAGCCTTTTTCTGCAAGCGTCTGAAAAAGCGCGTCTGATTTCGCTCCCTTGGTGATGTGGCAAAGGGATCTCGTTATAATATTACCGCCCCTTAATCTGCACGTTTCCACTAGTGATGGGAAGTCCGGTTCTTTTCCGCGAACCAGTTCTTTCGGACAGTTCGTTTCAATGAACCGGTTCAAAAAAGTACTCAAATGCTGTCTGGTGGCCGCTTTCTGTCCGTTTGCTTCGGTTGTGTGCGCACAGAAAACCATATATCAGAAGTTTAAACTAATATGGTTTAAAACGCATGATTTCAGCGCGATAAACATGATAATCAGAACCAAAACAGATGTTTTTTTTAGCAGGTCCGAGCTCTAATGGCGCAGCTCTATTCTGGAAAAGGGGGCGGGGAGCAGCAGCTCATTTGCATTTAAAGAGACAGGCCCGAAAAACAGCGTGTTTCTGCTTCCACTCAAAATAGGCATTTTCAAAATGATTTAATAAATGATTTGTGGAGTATTTTGAGCTGAAACTTCAGACACATTCTATGGACACCAGAGACTTATATTACATATTGTAAAAAGGGGCATAATATGTCTCCTTTAAGATCAAGGTAGGCTACTTTGCTACTCTATTTAGTCTTAGTTCCTGGTCTGAAAACGTATGCACATGACTATTGTGGCAACATTTTTGCACTTTAATTGACATTCCCACCTAACAGTTTTATTATATTACTTCTATAGTTTCATTAATAACTTCTCTTTTGTTCATACAGTGCAGCCACCAGTGGCCGGCCAGACTTCAGACTTTGTGAATCAGATCCTGGAGAACACTGGGAAAGGAGATCCCACCGGAGGGCTGGTGGGATTGCGTGTGCCCACATCGAAGGTGTAGAGTCACGCCGAAAGACACCTCGGAGCACACACGAAGCCATCCGCGCCATTCTTGTCCCACACTGTAACGGCCCAACACTCTGCATGCCCATTTTCACTTGGAGACGCATCCTCACATTTAAAGTGAATACATGCATACGATACTACTTGTCCGTGCATACGTATGTATATATTCACCTCATGCGCACCAGTGGAAATGAAACTAGTAGTTAACCTTTGCACTCAATAGTCTGTTTCCTACCATGTGTGCATGTGGCTGGTATCGATCAACAGGCCGCCATGTTGCAAATATTAAAAGCCAATATACGAGATACCTCCAACAAATAAGAAAAAGAGAGAGGAAAAAAGCTAAACAATGAGCACCAGTTGTTGCTGTAGCCATTTTCCTCTTGCGTCCAGCTAAATCTGTCAAATGCCCATTAAGAGTTTTGGAAAGCAGAGGCGCACTCTGCAGAGAAACTACGAAGGCATTAGATCCTTTGATTTAGCGGTCAAAAAGGTGTAAATGCAGACTTTCTGAGTTTTTGAACACGGCATGTACGATTTCACCCGAGTTAGGCCTACTTTATGCACTTATTAATCTCTCAACTGAGGGTGTAAGTGTCCTGGGGGGAATCCTGTTCCAAGCAATTTTTTTGAGGATCAATTGAGATACACCAACTACAAAAAGGCAAACACGAAAGAACACAAATACCGATGTATAGCGCAAAGTTACTGATGTTCGGTGTATATATGTAGAACAGGGATGTTTCAGGAGAGTAGCAGGTGAGGAAACGGGCCTCAGATGCCCTTTTCCACAGATTTGCGATCGTCTCAGGTTGGAAAGAGAGAGAGAGAGAGAGTGTGTGTGTGTTTTTAAATTTTTTTTTATTTTCTTTCTTCTTTCCTTGACTTGAGCAGATGGTCAGTTGAATTCCTTATTGTAAATAGGCTGATTGATCGATTATTATCCACTGGTGAAATCTTTTCCTTTCTACACTTTGGTTGAAGTGCCCTCACGTCAAATCACCTTTGATGTTGTTTTGCAAGTTCTCAAAAGGGGCTTAAAAAAAAAAGCTGATTCCCAGATTGGGTTTTGTTTATATTTGTACTTTATACAAGTAAGATTCATTGTGCCTTGTAATTGCGGAGTTGAGGAAAAATAAAACTCAATAGAGAGCGCAAATGGACCATTTAGCAGAAAGCAAGGGGAGTCAGTGGGGGGGTGGGGAGGTTTGTAATGTATTTCAGCTCTTTAAAGATACTCTGAATGTACATAGGAACATGGAAAATATAGATATATGCCACAGAGTCTGTGCTTTGTATTTTAAGATGGCTCTGGCAAATGTACTTTTTTCGGTACTTCATTTAAGAGGGGATGGGGGGTGGGCGGTGTCGTGATATATGAGAAATATTCACATATAAAAAACAAAAAAATGATATTTGCACACTATATTTTGATTGTTTTGTTTTTTGTACCAAAGACACATGCAACTGAAAATGGCAACTAGCCAGTCTAAGTAAGGTTTTGCACAGCTTACCTGACACCGTATTGAATGTAGGAAAAATGGTAGGGTCAGGGATTCTACTGAACTGTGAAATTTGCTTGGGTCCAATTCTCTGCAGAAAGAAGCATTCATTTGCATCCTCATCCAATTTTGTACTGTTCTTTTTGTTCTCATATATATTTCTTTGACACATTTGTACCGCCATTCGGTTTCCCTCCACCGAAGTTTTGTTTTGCGTATTTAAAAGATAAGCTATAAAGTTAATGGAGATTCTTCTATTTTGCCCATAGAAGATATCACAGAACCAAAAGGTTTACTATTCTTCCTATAGTTGTAGAGGAGAGTGCATATACAAAAAATTATACATGTTTATAGTTTGAATACGCATTAATCCGTGCACACATTAACCTTTTGAAATGATGTTACTCGGCGTGAAACATTTCTATTTTTGTCTTCTTACTCTTGAGTATTGTTGAAAGAGAAATTGAATTGCGTATATTTTTGTAGAGATTGCCTTTAACTTTCCTTTCTGCACTACCCACAGATCCCTCTCGGAAAATTCGGAAATGTTTTCGAAAGCTCTTATCTTGCTAAGGGAAATCAGATGATCCTTTGCAAATTGTATAAAGATAGATTGTCAGTTAAAATCCTCTTTTAAAATTGTATTTAACACAATCGTATGTATAACGTATATATACTTAATCGCCCGAATCTCACAATAAAAAGTCCAGGTTGTTTTTAACCCCAGTATCGAAAAAAAATATATATAAATTATATTGTGCATAAACACAGTGAAGCCTTAAAATAAAAATTAAGCACACCTTACACCCAAATTCTCATTACTGTAATTCAAACAATTCGAAATAGCATAAAAATAAAAATTGTGCTTTAAAATTACGTGCAGTAAATGAGAATTACTTTAATGAGAATTCAAGTGGAAATGTGCTTAATTGTCATGAAAATAATGTCATAAAAACTTAAATTAGGCTTTATTTTCATTATGGAAAATACAAATTCTTCCTGAATTGTGACCTAGACCGTTTTTGTGAGATTTCCCTGCCACCACAATCTCAAGCTGCTGCAAATTTGTTCATTCGGAAAAATCTCTTCCAGGTGGTATTATTAATAGCTTGCTAAAGGCCTTTTAAAAGTGACTTTATTCTTGATGCTGAAGCTTACGGAGAAGGTTGTTTCTCAAATATCATTTTGATCAAAGAAGGGAAAATATTTTTTCCTTTAAAATCTAAACTAAGATTTTTGTAAAGCTATTTTTCTTTATTTGCATTTGGTAGCATAGTAAATATTCTATATACCGTCCATTATGTGTAGTAACTTCTTTTGTTTTTTGTACATAGACATGAATTTAGATTTATTCTAAATGTGGAAAATATATACAGTATATTATATATCTATAAATGTATAGTAAGTTCTATATTACATGTAAGAAAGCAAAAGCACTTTGTCTAGACAAAAAGAAAAAAACAAAAACAAAAAAGCGTTCCCCCTCCCATTTGCTGCTAAACCGACCTCGTTTGAATGCTGCGGTGTGTACTTGACTTTTGCCATCTTGACCAGGGCAGTGTGACAGAGAGGTCTTGAGTGGAGACAGACATTCGACTCTGACGTCACCAATCTTCATTTGCCTTCAGTAGACATTTCCTATGGAAACATACAAATTCTGCTTTGGATTTTTCTTCAGGTCGATGTACAGTGTTGACACATTCTCTCTGGCCAGAGATAGGTATTGTTGTCATTGATTTTTTTAAAGTAATTTTTTTACTTACTGGGGGAAATCTGAGTTATTTGAGAAAGTAGCTCAGAGAAAGAAAAAAAAAATTATATATAAATATATATCGCTGTACTGTAAGGCAGTTCCATTTGCCATGGGGAATCAATTGGACTTGTTTTTATTTTTATTTTTTGTCTTTAAGAACCCATCCATTCTCAAAAGACAACAAAGCCATTTGTTATGGCGACAAAGACCGGCCTTTCTTGTGCCATCTACAGCTCTAAGCTACTCGGAATGGCATTAGCTAAAAATGATAATGATTGTCCTGTAAAATAAGCTTAATGGCAAGTGACAATGAGCATACGGAGATGGAAATGCATGTTGTCCTTCTGTCGACGGCCTGCTGTTTTGAGAGCGTTTGGTAGTTATCGTAGTGTGCACACTCTCGCATTCAACATGATGTTGTGAGCTGTACAGTTTAGAGTTTTAACCAGGGGACTCTGTGGCATTCAAACAGTTAAGGAAAAGGTTGCTATTTAAAGCCAGTATTTTATCTTTCTTTCTTTTTTTCTTTTTTTTTGCTGATCATGTTTTTATATAAAGAAAGATATTTAAAGAACACATACACGTATATAAATACATGCACACATTTGTATATGTGTGTTTGTTTTGCTTCATAGTGTGATTCAATATTAAGGAACACTCCACTATTTTTGAAAATAGGCTCATTTTCCAACTCCCCTACAGTTGAGTTTTACTGTTTTCGAATGCATTCAGCCGATCTCCGGGTCTGGCGGTAGCACTTTTAGCTTAGCTTAGCATAGATCATTGAATCTGATTAGACCGTTGGCATCTCGCTCAAAAATGACCAAAGGGTACTTTGCTGCTGCACCCAACGATATGGCTAGGAACTATACTCTTATTCCGGCGTAATAATCAAGGAACTTTGCTGCCGTACCATTGGTGCAGCTGGCGCATGATATTACGCAGCGCCTGAAAATAGGCTAACTTCCGTCAACATAACCAACGTGACCACCTGCTTGCACAGGGAGCGTGCTGGGGACTATTTTCAGGCGCTGCGTAATATCATTGCGCCTGCTGCACCCATGGTACCACGGCCCATATCGGCCTAGAAAATCGCAACTTTTCATTTCCGTCGGTCTTAGTACACGATGTAACTACAGAAGTGTCAAGTCTTAAATAGGAAAAATATAGAAACTCTTTGGTCATTTTTGAGCGAGATGCTAACGGTCTAATCAGATTCAATGATCTATGCTAAGCTACAGCTAAAAGTGCTACCGCCAGACCCGGAGATCGGCTGAATGGATTCGAAAATGGTAAAACTCAACTGTTTAACTCTAGGGGAGTTGGAAAATGAGCCTATTTTCAAAAATAGTGGAGTGTTCCTTTAACATTCATAAGAGGCTGTCACATAAGAATTAATTATGGTTATTTTATAATCTTAGGGAAATTATTTCTGCCTTCAAAAACAGATATATGCATCGAAAACATAAAAAAAAGTAAATATAATCCATTATTTATGTTTCTTGCATAGTCTAACGTTTAGCATCATATTACTTTTTCAAAGGGAAATAATGTAGCTTTCTGTTACTGAACAATTTGTGTGTTCTTTTAGTTTGCTTGTTTTTTTTTTTTGTCTTTGAAATCACCCAATAACGTGACATGCTAATCTATCCTGAAAAAAAAAGAGTAAGCTAGCTATTACATCCATTCTTTGATTGATTGTTTTTATTGTCTGCATATTGTTGATGATTCAATAATTTTGGACGCAAAGCTGCTAAATCATGTTGTAAGTTGTATAGAGAATCAAAGATCATTCCCTGTTACATTCAAGCTACGAGCAATGACTTTTATATTGTAAACAATTATTTATAAAGAGATGGATCTTATGCCACTATCTTTAAATCACGGATTCATCAAACACAGTTCGATCAAAATGGATAACTCACTTTGAATTCTTCTAAAATGGCTGCAGTATATACTCAAGAGCATTCAAACAAGCATTTACACCTTTCCTTTTCAGTGGTTTGTGTAGATATGTGTTTGCTATATACAAGAAAGAGGTGCACTATGCAGGTTTTACTCTGTAGAAAGACAGCATGTTGCTTTAGTTTACAGCACTTGCTTTTTTTTTAACAATTGTATCTGATTGATGGGTATTGTAAAAGTGGTTATCGATGGTAAACAACATGGTGACTAAGCTGAGAAATATTTTGCTAAGCGTTTCACAGAAGGCGGCCTGTTTTATTGTTGCTAAATAAACATGCTCTTTCCAATGTATTTAACCTGTTGAATGTTGTAGTTTTGTTTTGGGGTTTTTTTCGCTTTCCTTTTGTGCTGTTTTTTTAATGGACCTTGATGAATCGTTTTACCATTCTGTCCATTTTGTTACTCTGTATCTTGTGTAATCGTTTTGACTTGAGTGTTCTTCAAAAGTAGAATGACCTTCACGCTTTTAGATGATAGCGCTACAAGGTTTAGCAGTAGAACTCAAACATGCATTCCTACATATCAGCTGCTCGTAAATGTTCCATTAACAAATCTGTATGCTACACTTGATCCCTTTAGATATGATATTTGAAACAATGAATATGTTTGCATATACACGGCATGACTATTGTGCATGCTAACCTTGCTAAACTGATATTCATGGAGCTTTTGCAACAGACATTGGGGCAGAAGAACAGTCTTGCTGTCTTTATTCTAACCAGTGAGCACAAGTGGGAATAGATGTAAATCATCTCCATCGCACTCCGGCTTTCATCTGAAAAGACCCACATTATTGCACTTGGTTTTACAGAATTTCCAATGTTATTTTTGAAATGATGCCTGCAAAATCAGGTGCCTTATTCAGACATGAAAACCCAAACTTGATCTATTGACATTTTCTACAGAAATGAGATTTTGCCCATTATGCCAAGAATTAAATCACAACTTTGCTCTGAAATTATATTTTTTATGTTTTTTTCTTTTTCTTTTTTCTGCTGTGTCCAGCAGTAAGCTTGCTTCAGATGAGAACTGTTGCTGCTTTGCCCTCATACAGTTTTCATTGAAAGATGAATGTAGTCTTCCTTCAGTGGAGTTCAATATAAACGTAAAGACTGTGTCCCATAGATTTCGGTTGAGAGACTATCCAAAGAGTCCTGCAATCATAAACTCATTTTTTTAATGTTTATATCATCATTATAAATATATATGTAAACCATGTGAGATTTCTTCTGTTTAGGTTCTTGGTTGGAATTGTCTCTGCCTTTGTTTTGACCTTGGTAGAAGCAGGTTAATCCATTTGTACATGATACATTGTAACATTTAAACGCTCGACGTACGCAGTGATGGATTCCTCCGAAGCCCTCCGAGTGGAAGAAGTTTGCAAAGACAATGTCAAACCTTGTCAACATTGTGTCCCCTCACCAATGCTCAAGATTATTGTGCCTCCCGATTCTTCTGGTTCTACTGTTCCTCAGATCGCCAGCTATGACCTGGAGCAGAGTCACTCACCAACGAACTGAAATGGCCTTCAGCAGTTGTTCTCCAATCAAGGTTTTCCACGAACACAAAAACGACACAGAGGTGCGCATTGCTCGGCCTGTGATGGAATCGTAGAGGGCGAGAAGTCTCGGTGGACCGGCGAACTGCTGACAGATGTCCCCGTTCACACGGTCGGGACGCTTTCCTTGCACTCAGTCACTCCCTCAGAGAAAAGTTGAGTCGTCTTTTGGTGGTTGCCGTTGCATGACTCCCTTCATGTCAATGGGGTGGGTGGGAGAAGCTCTTTGTTTTATTGGGTTCAAAGAAACTTGGACATTGGGTAGGAGTCCTGTCTCGCCACCCATGGTGCTGAATTTCAAAATATGTACTTGAACACCCTCAGAGCTGTGACTTGGCACGTGCTGTCAGGTCCGTGAACTCTTCTCCTTCCCCGATCTTACCGTTCCGAAATAAAGTTGCTCTTACGACATTTGCTCAAGCCACTGCAACACCTGTGCCAAGACCTGACCCCAAACCGGGCGCTCATATTGGACTTGGACCGAACCAGTGGTCGGGCGGGAAAAGGGCCGTGTTAATGTAGCGGTGATAGCCTATTTGAATTGTCTGTTTGCTTGTTTGTTTATTTCTTTTTCTGTTGAGGAAGACATGGAGAGCTAGTAGGGTCACTTGTGGCGCTTTTCCACTGCGTGGTACGACTCGGCACGGCTCAGTACGGTACGGCACGGAACGGCTCGGCTCGGTTTGCGTTTCCACTGCAGTTCAGTACCGCTTTAGAGTGGGCGGGATTATTCACGTGTCGTTTATAGTTGCGCCGCCTCTACTGCCGCGACTCCTGAAAAACGTTTTCATTCTGCCTCGCCCCATCAAGCTCTCGCTGGATCCGCTCCTCTGCTATCAACGAGAGGAACGTTTGTATTTCCTCAAAAGACAGCGAAACAGCCACTTTTTGGTTGTTAAAAAAGGTGCGCTCGTTCAAAACATTTGCGTTCGATCCTTCGCTGGCTGTGCTGATTTATATCTAGCGGTTCTATTGTGTTTGTGTCGCAAGTTCAGTGACGCAGGTAGTAACTATTCTCTCCGGCCAATCCGTGATCAGCAGAGTTTACACGTCACGTTTTGGTAACGGTACGGTTCACTTGGAACCTCAACCGAGGTGGTACTAAAAAAAGTACCAGGTACTGTACCCAGTGGAAAACCCCCCAAAAGTGAACCGTACCGTGCCGTACCGTGCCGTACCATGCAGTGGAAAAGCGCCATTGGACTGTTGGGCCCAGATCCCTTGCACTGAAGTGCACCGGACACACTCGAATCACTACGCTAAAACCAACGTTACCAAAAAGGTCGTCAAGGAACGCTCGCACCTGTCCGATCGCATACTTTTCTACACTGCAGTGATTTACATTCCCTTCCGACCTTTGCCAAATTTGCATCGAGCGACTAAATTGACCTTCAACATTGGAAGCGGGTTTGCGAAAACATAATCAGGGCCACCAAAACCCTTTCGTTTCGTTTCGATTTTATTTTGTTTCTTTAGTTCAAAAATCCATACAACTTTCAATTTAAAAGGATTGACGCGAAATGTCAATCTAAAAAAACAAACAAAAAAAATATATATACACAATACGTGACCTTGTGCTTCTAATGTTGTATGGTATTCTACTTGATAATTTAGCATGGGATCCTTAAGTAGCTAGTACTGTGTGTGAACTCCCAAAGTGTAAAATCGTTCTCCTTTTTTAAAATTTTTATTTCGTTTGTTCTAGTCACAGTAGGAAGGCTGTATTTCATTGCTAAGTGCTCTGTCATAGATCTCTTGGTGATATTCTTAAGCAAAACTCTGCAGAAGTGTATCCTACTGAAACTAACAGTTACTTGATCCTATTAGCAATGTCTATATTTGTAGTTCACATATATGCCTGTTCAAATACAATATCTTGACAGTTGTTCTATTTATGTTTCAGTGTTGTGCTGGGTTTTGACATACATTGGACATTTTCTTTCACTTATTTCTTTCTGTATTTTTTTTTTTCCGGCACAACTAGTTGGAGAGCAGCTTGGTTTATTGAGCCTTGTTAGTGTACAGATGTGAAGTAGGCTTAAAAGCAGTTGTGATTGGTCTTCAAAATGTGTCTGTTTGTGTTATTGTGCCTCTTATTATTTGATTTCAGTTTTTTGTATTATCCTTAATTATGTCACTGCATTGTATCAGCCCGGAGTTGGTACCACAATTCTGCTTGTAACCATGATAGTCTAATTCTATTATTGATTTTACTATCAAAATAAACATTAGAAACTGCAGCACTTCATCTGTCATGCGTTTTTACTTTACCTTAATAAATGCAAGAAGCATTTTCACTAGACTATTGAACCTTGGACCTCTTGGATGCCTAGCACTTCTGGCAACTGTCATGCATTTTTAAGTCAAAATGAAACCACAAACTTTCCACTTTTATTCTGTCAATAGTTGTGTGGTTATGTTCTTCTTCACAGTATTCTTTGAATGTTGAGAAATTATTTGACTTGTTTTAAAAGTCTAAATCCGTCCTATATATATATATATATATATATATATATATAATATATAGTTGAATTCAATTACTTCTATTACATCAATTATTATTATCAATTATTATCAGTGTTGAAAACTACGGATATAATATTTAATGGTGAACATTTACTGTTTTGTGGAAACCATGATATATTTTGATTCGTATTCTGTCACTTTTGTCGTATATCATGTATGAAAGTTGTAAAGTACTATTATGCACTCTGTTTTTGTTCTCAGAACAGTTTTGCAGGGCGCATCAAAAAGGCGTTCTGAAAATGCGCTAAAGTTTGGACCTTCTGACTTCTCGTATAACAACAAACATGGCGTCCTCCTCTGATGTACATGTCCGAATATGTGGCCAAGAGATTATCAAATATGATCTGGAAATCAAAGCACTTATTCAGGTAGACTTCATTCTTTATATTAACGTATCTGCTATGGTCTTACTGTCAGGTTTGTCCGACAAGCTTACTGTTGTAATACAAAGATGTGGCCATAATTGTAGTGTCTGTGAAGTCAGCATGAAATGGAAACAATCAATTCTTGTTTCAAGAAATCTTTTCTTTTCGTGTCAGGACATAAGAGAGTGCTGTGGGCCACAGGCAGTGCTTATGGATCTGAACTCCACAGTGAAGGAAAAGTTCAATCAGTTAAGACAGAGGATTCAGGTACGTTACTTTCGTCATTTCATATAACCACATAGATTAAAAAAAGTCAGGGTTTCCATCAAACTACTGCAAAAAATATAATAATATGGGATCAAATTCTACATCTAAGAAGCTTCTAGAATCCATTTCATTTTGCTCTCGTCAAGTTTTATTAAACAATTGCTATTTATTTTTTTAAGTGCTTTTATAATGCAGTTACGATTTTATTGTAGTTACTATTATGGCTAAAACTATTGTTAAACTGTCAAACTTAATTGTTTAACTAATTGTTATCCGACTGTCCATCACAAATCGTTAACATAGCTAGGATAATTTCAATCGTAACGGTATTACTATTATAATTAGATTATTTACGTTTTGTAGGTATTTATATAAATCTATAAATATTTAAATCTTTAACGATTCATTTAATGTAAGAATAACTTTGATATTGTTATCAATATTTGGTATAATGGACTGAAGCAGCTTAGGTTTACTTGATTATCCATGCTTTTTTTTGTGTAAGCATCAAATATGACGCAATAATCTTCTGAGGAACTTTTATGTATACATCTGTTATTATTGTATTATATGTTTTGCCAAATCTTATTGATTTATATTACAAGCTGTTAGAATTTCTTCTTACATAAATAACAACATCAGCATATTTTTGCTCCACTTGGACTGCAACAATTGAGGTGTTTTTTCTTCCTCGAGTGTGAGCTCCATATTCTCTGATATCACACTATATGAGCCATAAAAGCCTGAAGTGTTGATTACGATATAAAACACATGTACCATTTTTTCCATTTTCTTTTATATTTTGTCTAAAGTTTCAAAAACTAGTGACTTTAAAAAAAAAAAAAAAAAAGGCTTTACAGGGTTAACATGGCCGATCATTTTGATAGGACATGGAACAGATGGCAAAAGAACAAGACAGGGAGACTGATAAGCAAGCTATCTTGAGTGAAACAGAAGGCCATCGGAAGCAGATGTTAAGGTTAGAAAAACATTTCTTCTTTCTGATTATGTGTTGAATTACAATATGATCACTACTCCTGTGTTTCAGCAACCAGATGGCGTGGAGGAAGGCAAATCTGGCCTGCAAGCTGGCCATTGACAACCTGGAGAAGGACGAACTGCTTCAAGGTGGTGATTCAGTTAGACAAAGGTAAACCATGCGGCTTTACAGCTGCTGTCAGGGCTGCTATTTTCAGCCCGTCAGAATCAAATCATTGTGATTGACATTTAATCGTTTCTATGATGTTTGAAAAAATAAAACAATTGCACATTGATGTAGTATACATCATATTTACTTCTCAACACTGTCCTAAGCCATATTATCTAAATCCATCTTGTTGTTGTGGTTTTAGGAAGGCCACTAAAGAGAGTTTGGTGCAGACATCCAGTGACATCACAGAGAGTCTGATGAGCGTCAGCCGTATGATGTCACAGCAGGTGCAGCAGAGCGAGGAGACCATCGGAACTCTGGGTAAAAAAGCCTATGTGCTCTGGGTCATAACAATCATGATATAAGGGTATAAATCGATTAAAAGAATATTTGCTGACATACGAGTAGAAATGTGACAGAATTGTCATATGTAGGTAATTTATTGCTATAGCTAATTAAAAGAAATCTCATTAGTCTAAGAAAAAAGTTGCTTTATTCTGCATGTTGACATCAAATGACCAGTTACTATTAGCAATAAAAATAACAATAATTAGTGCTCAAAGGAAGAAAGCATAAATGAATACATAAATCTAAACAAAACAAGCAAACCAAATACACAATGCTATATACACTACTGTTCAAACGTTTGGGGTTGGAAAGATTTTATAATATTTCTGAAAGAATCACTTCCACTCAAGGCAGCATTTCTGTGATCAAAAATACAGTAAGAACAGTTACATTGTGAAATATGATTATAATTTAAAATAAAGGTAAAATAAAATGTTTTAATGTATTCCTGTGATGCAAAGCTGAATTTTCAGCATCATTACTCCAGTCTTCAGTGTCACATGATCCTTCAGAAATCATTCTAATATGCTGATTTGCTGCTTAAGAAATATTATAATTATCACATCATATTATACATTATATGATCTATCTATCCTCCCATCCATCAATCAATCCATCTATAAAATATATGAGTATTAGGGATGCACCGATACCACTTTTTTCAGAACGAGTCCGATACCGATACTTTAATTTTTGGTACTCGCCGATACCTGCATTTTCACAGCATTTGTAATTTTTTTTAAATATTGCGTACAGAAACAAAATATTAGATGGCTTCATTTAGCAAACAGGTATTTCCTTCAGTTATTTCCACACTTAACTTACCTGTTAAAATGTATTGTAAAAGCTTTTGTTACTTTCACTGTTCATTTTAATGGCGCATTAGAGCTGCTCCATTGCAGCAGCTCAATACTGTAATCACAAGACGTTTTCCTAAAATAATGCAGGGATCCACTCGTTATACATTATATGAGTACGCGTGTAGGCTACTATTTTGGTGATGCAATTTGCGTCACGCGCACTGTACTCGGACCCTCGCGTACGAGTAAAAAACGAAATATACTTTGGCCTTTAAAGCAAGCTAATCATGCGCAGCGCACACGTTTGTATTGGTGCAGAATGAGAGAGACACTTATAGCCTAGCGCATTTCACACAGTCTGCTAGTTTCACTTTTGCTTTAAATAAAGTCCTGTATGCTTGACGTTTAAAATAAATGTTGTTTATAGTGATTAGTGAATGCCCCTATAATTTTTAGGATATATTTACGATTTAGTTTTAATCCAAATGCATGCACTAATGGAGCGAACAGCAATCAAGATCATGCAACAGAAGTGCGCGCTCACTCACTCTCACTCTCTCTCTCTCTCTCTCTCTCCTTACCGACAAATAACTTTAGTAACCTGTGCATTTTACTTGCTTTTGACATATCCGACCGAACTACAAACTTTCCAGTGATGTCTGTGAGATATT